AGAGGCTGTAAATGGGTTTTACATATAGAGGAGATGGGTGTTAAGTTTTAGCAATTTATATAAAAAATAGATGTTAATGTTTGATAGTAATTTAGATGTCTAAAAAAAACCCAAAGAAATTAATTTGATGCTTGCTAAAAAAGAATTAATTTGATGCTTGCTAAAAAAGAATTTGGGTATTTTTAATAAATGTCACCCTGATAAGAAAAGAACACAATTTATTACATAAGAGATAATTAGAAGGAATCCTGCTAAATGTCTCCTCATCAATAAACACATGCCAAATAAACTATATTAAATCACCAATTTTTATAAAAAGTCAATAAGTATACATTATGCGGCAACAACTATTTGTACAAAAAATGTTGTGCTTTGGTTTGTAAATGAAAACATCAGATGAAAGTTCATGGAAATATCAAAACATCTGGAATGTGTGTGGTTTGCTACAACGTAAGTGGCATGGCGCGTCCTTCAGTTTAATCAAACGGTCTACAGCCAACCAATTAACTGTAGCAGGAGAACATAATGATTCATACAGTTTTTTTTTTTTGTTTTTTTTTAAGCATTATGCCTTGAGCAAGGTGTGACGCCACTAGGATGCAGGGGGTTGCAGAAGATTTGGAGCAAGAACAGATAGGAGTGATAGAAGAAAGGATGAGGAGAGGGATAGTGGGTAGATCAAGGTAACTGGAGATGTCGATTGACATTACATTTGAATAGTTGGAGATTATAGCTCTCAGGGAAACAGTAATTAGGAAGGGTATTCCACAGGCGAGAGGTGCGAGGTATGAAGCTATTGGAGTAGAAGAGACGGCTACATTTAAAAGTTTCTACAGTGTAAGGGTATGAGCGGGATGCCAGCCTTGTAGGGCGCTTGAATTCATGGAGTCTGGGAACCAGTGAAAGCAGCTCATCGGAGCAATTACCATGAAAGTATTTGTAGAAAAGACAGAGAGAGGCGATAGTGCGTCTGTGAGAGAGTGACTGTAGACGAGACGCCAGATCAGGGCCAATTATATTACATATCCGTCTCTGGATCTTGTCAAGAACTCCGAGGTAAACAGAAGATGCCTCAGACCATATATGGCAGCAATACTCCATGCAAGGGCGAATGGTTGATTTATATATTTGAAGTATCAATTCCGGAGAGAAAAATTTCCCGGCGTGGCACAGAGAGCTAACTTTCCTCGCGGTGGAAGAAGCAATTGACTCAATGTATTTGTTCCATCTCAGGTCAGCAGTCAACGTGAGACTGAGCAGACGCAGGGAGTTGCTCTCAAGAAGTTGACTATCAGTGGTAATTCATCTGAAGTTGAAACTTATGTTTCTCTGATTGCATTTGCTGTGATCATGAGATCAGGAGGGAGTGTAGTGAACTACTGCAGAGGGTAAAGAGGCCTGGGGTTGAATGTATTTTTTGCAATGCTAGAATAAAATCAAGAATAAATTAACTTAGCTCCAGCACAAGCAAAGATTCAAACATGCTTTGCATGTAAACTGTCCAAAGAAGAAAGAAATGATGGTTACATATTTAAAAAAAGCTAAATCCCAGAGTAAGCAGGTGCAAATTCTGGCTGTCAATGATACATAAAAACAGGAAGAACAAGGCAACAGAAAAAGATGGTTGATTGCTGTATTGAACTGGCAACACATATCACAGACAGTGAACGAGAAGAAACTGATTGCAGGCATTGGTTGCGAGGAAAAGTTTAAAGCTTTTTTGCGACATTAACTAAACTTGATTTGTGAAATCCCCCCCAAAATACCACACTTAGAAACCATTCACTTCAGTCTCTATCAAAATATGTTTGTGGTTTGTGGGCTATCCCATTTGGTTTTGCTGAAACACCTACAAGGGATGGTCACCCATTAAGCCTATGAAAAGGCGATTATATTCTCTCTCTTTCTCTCTCTCTCTCTCTCTCTCTCTCTCTCTTGCTCTTTGTAGCTGTTTTTAACTCTTACTTCCAGATGTAGTCAATGCCAATAAAGAACACTGCCGATTAGGCACATTCACTTCCTTGGTACTCTGTTAACTTTTAAACTTTCTCACACATTCACTCATACACACATGTATCACACACACACACAGAGGTTTTGTTGGATTCTGTATTCGTTGATATGAAGTTCATTATTTACATTATTCGGACTATTGTCCTCATCTTTTCACCATATTTATTACAACATTTGGTCTTTAAGTATCTGTCTATATTTCTGAGTTTTAAGAATTATATTACATTATTTACATTATTCAGACTATTGTTAAAATCTTTTGTCACCATATTCATTACAATGTTTCGGCCGTTGAAGGCTCTGACCTTCTTCAATTTGGTTGGAATGTCAAACTTAACCCTTTATTTTGCTCACTAGGTAGACTGTTCTTTTCCACGTGCCATGTTTAATGGATGTCAGTTATCAGTTATCTCTGTTAATTTCCCTCTTAAAAGTTCTCCATTGCCCTTAACCGGAATATTGAACTCACACTGGTTTGGGTCCTTGAGAACACATGGCACAGGGAATAAAGGTGTTGGTTAGATCCAGTGACAGGACCCAAAGAGTGTGAGTTCAATACCCAGTAAAGGCAGTGGGGAACTTTCAGAGGGAAATTAACAGGAGATAACTGATAACTAACATCCATCAAACATGGCACGTGGAACTAAAACAGTCTACCCCAGTGAGTGAAATAAAGGGTTCAGTTCAACATTCCAACCACCTGAAGAAGGCCAGAGCATACAACGGTCGAAATGTTGTAATAAATATGGCAACAAAGATGAGGACAATAGTCCGAATAATGTAAATAATTTACATAATACCTCATCTCAGAAATATAGACTGATATGATGTTGACTTTTAAAATATCTCACACATGCATATATATATGTCACACACAGACACACAAACAAGCACATTCTTCTAACAACTTGTTTTGATGTTTTTTTTTCCTTTTATTACAATTGTGTAGACATGTAATTTCTTTTGTTAATAACATACATTGTTGTTTGTTTTATATTTATTATTTTGTTTTTTATTTTTACCCAGATTCACATCAGGCCACCAATATTATTTGCGGGATAAATGTTCCAGGTGCATATTTAATATATAATGTCCATGCACCTTGCAACCAAAGAGATGATACGACAACATAATGATGAATTATTTCTACCCAAACATAATACTATCCTGCAACAGGTTCACTATCAACAAATAAAACTCACAAAATATCAATAAACTTGACGTTAATTTTTATCTTATCACAACAAACTCACAGCCTACCCACCTTAAAAAAATTTTCACCTGTACAGGTGAGAAATTTCTCTCCTTTCAGAAATGGATTTGTGATAAGGGTAACCATAGTTGATTCATTTTTTACAGTTTATCAACCCTTTGCATGTTATTTAAAGTGAGAAAATATTTTTAGACAGTAAGAATTTTTAGCTAGAAAATTTTTTTAGATCGTGAGAATTTGGAGGGGGAAGGAGATAATGATTTAGTGATACAAGTCTTACTAATTAACCCATAGCTGGGTGGAGAAGAGGTAGACACATACCTAATCAGAATTTGACAAACAGACAAGTAATTATTACATGGATATAAAGTGAAGGATCAATTCTATATTACAATTAATATATAAACAGATCCCTCACTTTGTCACCACTGTAGTTTCTATTTCAGAGACTGTAAATAAGTCTAAAAGATTTATCTGTGTAGCTAATCAGTATTTCATTGATTGATTTGTTTTCTACAGCTTATCAAGAAATAAGAAATTATAATGCGGATATAAAGTGAGGGATCAATTTTATATTACAATCTATATATAAACTGATCCCTCACTTTGTGGCCGCGATAGTTTCTATACATTTATATTCAAGAGAATGTAAATAAATCTAAAACACATGCCTACACGAAATTATATTGTTTATATAAAGTGGGGGATCAGTTCTATATTACAATCAATATGTAAACTGATCCCTAACTTTGTGACCACTCTAGTTTCTATACATTTCTATTCCAGAGAATGTAAATAAATCTAAAAGTCATGCCTGTGTAACTAACAGTTGTCATATTTTCAAATTTGTTGAAAAAGTGTTTAAGTCATAATGATATTTTGTTTCATTTACTACTCATCAGTTTGTTTTATTATTTCTCTTTCAAATATTTTTAACAAAAATAATAGTAAAATGTTATCATATATTAGATGATAATTTTATTCCTTTCTTATTTATTTATATATTTCTATTATCATCATTTTTAAAATATATATAACACATTTGGTACATTTGATGGTGAACTGTTTATTCTGACACCCAGTGTTAAATATATATATATGTTTATGTGTGTATCTATACAATTCGAATAGATGAAATTCATCAGCTCAGGAAGGTAGTTCGTCTAAGAGAAGGAAAACTCTGATTTTAAACCTCCACTGCCACACCCAGTCATGAAAAAGGTTTCAGGAATAAACCCTGAGGACAAATCTGGAGTTGGAGTCTCTAAGATTGTTTGTGGAAATTCAAATTCCAAGTTGGTGTCTGGGATGAGATAATTGACTTCATGGCTTGAAAGAAGTCTTGGATGGCAGTCTTTCTAGAGATGGTGTCTCAAAAAAAACATCCAGATGTTGGGTTGGCACCCCACATTTTATATCAGCTACCAAAAGAACAATAGTTCTGATCAACCATAGGGAGGGAGGTCGAAGAATGATGATGATGATGATGATGATGATGAAAAGTTCACAAAAGATGTTCCTCTTTCTCATCTATAATTAAATTCTGAGTTTGTGTTACTGGTGATCAAAAATACATTACTAGTGTGATTTAAGTTGGCTAAGGTTTCTTCTCTGGTGTTAACTTGGAACCATTAAGATCTTTATAGCAAAATTATATATATCATCACACTAATATTATTCAGCTTGTAACAACAGTCTTCGTGAATGACTTAGTGACATATCTGTTGGTTATGCCTCAGCTAACTTTTCACCTCCCCCTTACTAACAATTTCAGATGACTGTTTTCATTTTCTTCTTTTTCATGGTAAGAAAAACTCAATAAAAATGTTTCAAGAAAAAAAAAATTGTACATACTGTATGAAAAAATATTATATTATTTTTAGCTAGAAAGAAGGCTGCAAAATTCAAACCATCTTTCATCAGTGTTTATATTAATTCTTTTTCATACTGTAAGTAAGACTATTGTAGAAAACAAAAAATAAAAAAATATATCTTCCCTAGCTTGGCTAGCAAAATCACCAATTCAAGAAATTCGCGACTAGGAATGAAGTAAAGATTAAACCAATGAGAGGCTTTGCCTTGGAGGAAACTAGAAAAACAAAGAATGAAGTTCTTGAGTCTATGTTAGAAATAAATATTCAACCACTGAGAAGCATCACTTTTGGGAAATTAGAGAAAAAGAAAAGAAAGAAATTCATAAGCTGGCATATCAACAGATACAAAGTGCTGACAACAGACAGAAGACATAGAAGGTTGCAAATGCAACCCAACTTAGCAGTTGGCCTTTCAGAACATTGATGACAAATTTATTTCTGTGACTCAACTTACAAAGAAAAACTTCTAGTACACAAGAAGCACTCTAACCGAACAAAGGACTGCTGTAATATAAAAAATCATATTCTGAAAAACACTCCTTGGTAAAATTATACACCATCTTGCTACCAGCCTATTTACTACTGCTCAACCTGAGTAAGTAAATATTTTCAACATTGACTCTTTTCATCTATCACCTTTCAAATACTAATCTCATACCACTTTAATTAACAACAAACTTTATATTTTTTTAACATTATTTGTTCTTTGGAATTTTCACTGAAATATTGAACTTATAGTTAACAAAGGATAATTGTGTTGTACTAAAAGGTGTTGCTAACTTCATAATCAATTATTGATTGTATTATATTTAATAATAAGATATTGACAAAGATAGAGGTATATTCATTAGAATTTAGATTAATAGCTATCTATTATTGTCTATGAATAGCAATGAGCAAGGTCCAATTTCAGTAAGGTATATCAATCATTACTGTCAGAGTAGCTAGAGCTGGGAGTGAGAGTGAGAGCTGGAGCTGGAAATTTCATAATGTTGGAGCCAGAGCTGTAGTTGGAGCTGAAAATTTAAATGTCAGCTCCACAACCCTGCTTTTGAGCAGTGTTGCCAGGTTCCCACAACCATAATTCCCTAGACACCAAAATTTCCCTTTTCAACATAAAATTTCCCTTTCTTATTTGAGGCTATAATGCAACTTTAATAATGATGCAATCATTTCTCTATTTATTTTTTACCCATTATGTCCATAAAATTAAAACAAACTTTGAAAGAAGAAAATAGGACCTTCAATGATGAATGTGAATTGCAATATTTTTTAGTGTTTAACAGTGGTAAAATGTCTTGCTTGCAATTTCAACAGTTAAAAATATGATGCGCATCAACATTATGCTGTTGATAAAGACAATAAATCTGCTAAACTGGAGGGTGAAAATGTGACCCAGAGAAAAAATGGTTGGGAACCAGTGACACTATCCATGATGGCATCTTGGAATTTGTTTTCAATAGATAATGAGATCCAATTGCAACCTATACAAGGTACTATGAAAGGTTGAGGAAGTGAAAATTCATCCTTGTAAATATATTCAACTCATCCACAAAGACAAAATGAAGGCAAATGTTATACTCTGCTCTAAATTAGATCTCTTTCTGATCCACTCCACATCAAAACTTGTTGCCCAGATGTGAATGTTACTTGCAAAAGCAAAATAAAAATAAGAAACCGTTTTCTGCACTGGAGCTCCAAACATCACATCCAGCTTGCAAAACAAATTCTCAGAAATATTAAATGAAATATGAATATTGGAGCCAATTACAAGTGCTGCCGCTAAAAAAACTGAGTCATGTATCCACCCTAGCTGCTTAAAACAACTGCTCAGCAACACTCAATGCAGTAGACAGATAGAGTTCAGCAGTTCAATTGAGCTGACAGAAGCTTCCTTGCCAGTTCTGTACATTACTGACTCCCCATCCTCCAGGTCACTTCCCGCATCCATAATGAGACATTCTACCTTGATCCTTTATACTGGCAATACAGATAATTTTATTTTAACATATCTTGTGTTCTTTATGTTCCACATCACTGGCAATAATTTGTTTTCATTTGTTCTCTTGCAATCATACATGTTATATAAAAAAAAGTAGGCAGATAAGGTGCAAACCCCAAATCTTTTATATTTCTGAAATTGTTGAGGTGTTTGCAAAAATGTTTCTTTATTTTTTAAGTCTAATTTCTTCTAATGAAAACAGTTTCTGTGTAACAGGAAATAGACTAGACACAAGAAGATTCCGTAATGAATCTTCTTACTTCTTTGATTTGAACTGTTACTTGAATTTCTTCTTGACTTCATACAGCAGGAAATAGACTAGACACAAGAAGATTCCTTAATGACTCTTCTTACTATTTTGACTTGAATTTTTACTTTAACTGGCTATTTGACACATTGTCCTTTATTTATACATGAGGTGCAGAACTAAAGAATATATGCAATTATTTTACAGAAAGCTGATAAAGTACAAATATAAAATTTTTATATTCCAGAAATTGTTGAGGTGTTTTACAAAAATGTGACTTGTTGACTTCAAATGAATCATCTCCAACAACAACAACAGTGTGACACTATTTAGCTATGGTAATTGGCTAACTAATTAAGCATAGAAATTAAAACAAGAAAATACTTAAGGTGAGAAAGAGCTATAATGAAAGACAGACCAAGCGACATTTTTTTAACAAAAAAAAATGAATGGGAAAAGATTTTATTTCATTTACAAGGAAAGATACTTTTTTCGCAGAAGACAGAAAGTCTGTAAGAGAAAAACAGATTTCAGATTCTGTTAGAATTAATTAATGTCATGATCAGATAGTGACGTGACAAGGAAAACAGAATTCTAAAAGATAAACAAAGCCAGGCCACACATGCGACCGAAAAGGAATTTCAGTGAGACCACCCTAAAAGAATAGCCACTAATTATCTTTCAGAGATATCATTTAGTTTTGATTCTTGTGTCCAGCAAGGAGACCCATCTGTTGTATTTCCGGATCTTGACATGAGGAAAGAGAGTCGAGAAGGGGATCATTATTATTATCAGACATGGTGACTCGAAAATGAGTATCTGGTGACACAAAAATTTTAATACACGAGAAAAATAAAGAATTTGTTTATCAAGTAAAAATGACCACCCAGTTTAAAAGTTGACTAGCAGTGATTAATGAATCGGTGAAAATTCTGCTAAGTAGATTTTGGGTGGCTCAGGATAAGATAAAATTTTAATTAGGGCCACGTGGAATTCATAAGAATTCTGGCTGATAGAAAAGAAGGAAAGAAAAGAAAAGAGAATTTTTTTTCTGGACGATAATTTTAAGAAGGCCAAGTCTAGCCACACCCACGCTGCCAAGCATACATTGGCTGAGTGGTGGCGTGAATTATAGGCGAAGGTGAATGTATGAGAAAGGCAGGGAAGTTGTTGACACCCACTAAGAGGATTGGTATGAGATACCAATATGAGAAAGGAAGAGTCTAGGAGGATAATTCTCCTCTGACCTCTCTTCACAAACAAGGGAGAAAACCCTGGAAAGGGAAAGTGATTAGCTTCCAGAAATGGGAAGTAATAAATTTTCCTGTCCTGGGGACAAAGAAAATTTTTGCTGGGAATTAAGAATTGTCAAAGAACCCAAACCATGACAGGCCCCAACCCGGTTTTGGTCAGTGTCCATATAAACAAACGTCCACAGGTGTTTCAGTTGAGTTGGGTTGGAGATCAGAGACGCAGACACAGATCGATAGAGAGCTGTTGGGCTTGAAGGATAGTGCCTCGCAGGAGCTGATTGAGATTTCCACGTCCTTCCTACCAAAAGCAAGTTTTATTGACGGACGACTTAAGATACCATAACTCGCTTAAGAAATGCAAAAAGTGTCACAAATCCATAGAAACAGGCCGGGAGAAAAACACACTCCTGTATTCAACAGATTGATAAAGTTAATTGTTATTTCTCAACATATTTGAATCTCGTGAGTTCATTTTATTATTTTCTTTTACTTACGCTTATGCAGTATCACCTTTACCCTGGATTCAGCTTGCACTATGGCCCGACGCCTGATTGATTTCGTCTACCTAAGATCAAAGTCACAATGTGGGTAGGTTAGACTTGAGATCAAAGCAGTTACTTCGGTGACCAAGCGTTGGAGGTGAGCTGAGAACGACAAAGCTGGTATCGAACTGGAAATGACCAGATTGACAGGCTGGCGGCAGCGACAAGGAATCAACCCCAAAACGCTGGTGGAAGAAACCTTACGGCTTCGCGCCGCAACTGGGAGCTGACCACGGGCCGACAGTGCAGTGACATATATTGACGTCGCAACCAGTGGATGTCCCATATTGGTGCTGGCGCTGCGACCGCGACCACCGGTGGGTGTCACAGCAGCAAGGACAGTCAGTGAATATTTGCTAATGTTAAAAGTCTTTTCTAAACTACAGATTTTTCTGTGAACCAACTACCCAAAGAATTTAACTAAAAAAACTATTTTTAATACTTATTAACTCTTTTGAATTCATGTACATATGTTTGTAAATACAAATGATTTATTTAACAGGCATGAGACCATGTTTTCTTTGTTTTGTTATTGTTTGGAATTCAGGCATTTGAATTTTTAATATTAAAAACCTGGGCGACTGAATTTCCTACAAGGCCACTGTTACAATGATTCAAATGTTGTGTAAATTTTATTTTTCTCCATAAATTATAAGTTAACTAGGTGCTATTTAAGTTTGTATCTGCTCAATCAGAATATCATATCATGTTAATAATTTTCATTAAAAGATATTTTTATTTTGTCAGAAACTGATTAATTTGATATGTACTAATGTGTCCAGTATAATTTGCAACTATCTTGTTCGTTTTAGCAAATCTTAAGCTATTTAGTTGTATTTTACGGAATCTTAATTTATACTGTTCAGATCCGTCTACCCAGTGTAACAGGAGAGAGCTATAGAAGAAAGATTTATTTACCTATTTTTATTTTCCCTATTATGGGCATTATTATATCTGTGATAGAATAACACCATAGTTCACAGACAGAATGGAATGGCTGAAAGGAAAAACATGCTTTATTCTCAGAGAGATTTTTATAATACTAAGACATACACAAAATTATATATTCATATGTCCCATGAAGACATCAATATATCACACATATCTACACAGAAAAGAAGAGTGTAGGGAGAAACAAAAACGAAGGGTCTTACATGTAATACAGAGATACTTTTGTGTCTAGAAAAACCACATAAGGTTGTTTTCTTTTAGCCTGGGTCAAGGAGCTCAGACTGAGACTAAATCTTCACTAGCAGCTTACAAGACCATGGTGCCATTTCTGACCCCTTTCAAAGTGGCTGAGATTTCATATGAAACTCTGTTTCTAACCCCTTTCAAAATGGCCGAGATTTCACATGAAACTCCTTTTCTGACCCCTTTCAAAATGGACAAGATTTTATACGAAACTTGTTTGCTGACCCCTTTCAAAACAGATGAGATTTCATATAAAATTCCTTTTCTGTCCTCTTTCAAAATAGCAGAGATTTCATACAAAACTCTGTTTCTGAACTCTTTCAAAATGGCTGAGATTGAAGATGTTTTTGGAATTGTATATTTTTTCAAGGTCTACAAGGAAAGAAAGATAAACCAGGAAAAAAATCATATGTCTTTTCTCAGGTTTGGTCTTCTTTAGATAAAATTCCTCCTAACATTTAATGATAATCTGAAGTAAATATTTTCAAACTGATAATAAATAAATATCTATTATGATTGCTTTTCTTCTATTCATTTTCTTTTTTTCTCCTTTTCGTTTCCTTATTGCCTTTCCTTTTTTGTGCCATTTCTTCTTCTTTTCATTATTACTAGTTTAGCCATAACATGAAAAACTGTCATCCATATTTAAGACATTTTGCAATTACATTGGTTATGTCTTTTACATGAGTAATCTAGGATTTTTATCTCTACAATTAATTGTATTGTCATTTGTAAGAAAGAATTCTGCTTTTCTTTTTAATCATTAAAAGTAAAAACATCCAAAACTTTTATATATTACTATATATATGATCTATTCACTTGTCTATGTGTACTGTTCAAAAATGGCGGCCATATTTAAGACATTTTACATTTGCCATGGTTATATGATTTGTATGAGAATTTTTATCTCTATAATTAACTCTATCTGATCTTAGCCAAACAACTCATGACTTGGATGTGTAATGGTTAACAGTTCGAAATTGATTTACAATATAAAGAATGAAGAAAAATATATGGAAAAAGAAAAATCCGAATATGCAAGTATGCTGTTTTAATGTTGTTTCAATGTCGATGTTTCGGTCTAGTAGACCTTCTTCAGAACATAGTTACTAAAATATAATTAAAATTAGACGATATTCAAGTCAAGATGAAAAGACGATAGACATAAGACTAATCAAAACAGAATAACTGAAATTTTTAAGATCAGCATTTCGTTTCGCAATACGATCACGTCGGCGTCACGTCGGCGATGTTGTGAAAACGTATTCCTAAAATAGAGTATATTTGGATTTTTGTTTTTCCATATATTTTTCTTCATACTGTCGGTTCTATATCCACATATTTGCTTACAAATATAAATAATGTAAATCAATAAGTCATATTCTAATTCCAGCTGGGATCATTATATTAACTTGCATGCAAATACCTTTGGGAAATGTATTAATCCACCTCTTCTCCCTCCAGATATGTGTTAATTAATTTGACTTGTATCAGTAAATCATTATTATGTCAAAAAATATTCTTACCATCAAAAATATTTCTGGCTTTAAATAACCTGCAATAAGCTGTCAAAAGTCAATCAATTTAAAATCGTTAAAAGTCAAAACATCCAAACAAAAATAACACAACACTTATCGTCTTTTTAAGTCTGTTTTTTAATTTGAGATAAACAAAAAATAAATATTCAGTGTTGATACAACTACACTGGATATTGGAGATGTTTTCATTTTTAATGTATATAGATTTTTGTCTATTTTACAGACCGTTGTCTCCATCTTTACTTTCCTATTCATGACGTTTCGGCCGTTATACGCTTTGGCCTTCTTCAGGTGATATTTATTGGAATTTCCAAACGAGCACTTTACTTAGTCCGCTGCGCTAGGTTGTTCTAATTCCACATACCATGCCTTTTTTAGATATCTCAGTTTTAGTTCCTCTTGACTCAACTCTCTAAGATTTTGTCACTTTTTGGATCAATCAACCAACACTTTTACCAACTTGATCCAAATATCTCAAAATGGCGGCCATAATTAACAAATTTGAAAATTGCCTGGTTATAGATTCTTCATGAGTAATTTAGGATTCTTATCTCTACAATTCAATCTGTTGCTGAATATCAGAAAGAATTGTACTTTTTAAATTGTTAAAAAAAAAAACATATCTGAAGAAGGTGAACACGAAAGAAATAAAAGACAGTGTATTAGCAACCTTATCTCACCTACTTATTAATGAGACATTCCACTGTTCTGACTTCTATTAACATAAGACTAGAAGATCTCATTATCTAAAATAGGGGAGATAATGAGATATTCCATTCTTATTTATAAATATATAAAGTCACCTTGTCATTCATTTTTCCATAGACACCTTCTTCCATTTATATGGGACTTTCTTTTCCTCGCTGCAGCCTTGGCTCTTTTGATTGCAAACTGGTCCTCTGTTGGTGGAGATTTCTTTTTGTGAGGAATACTGCTGCTGTATGTGATAGGCACCAATAAATGATAGGACTCAAAATTGGTCGCTGCGTTTAAGCATTGCATTAACATTCAAGCTTACCTTTTAAAAATTCAATGATAATTCTTCAGCTGTCACTTAATTTAAAAACAGTTTGATGTACATAGGTCCTTACTTTCCACAATTATTTTTATTTAATAGGTGAATTTAAGTTATTCCCAAATTTATTTCCTCGTTATAAAAATTTTTATCATACAAAAAAATTTGTTGCAAAAAAAATCACTTAAAAAATTCACCAAAAACAATAGCAGTAATGAAAGCCTGGGAATCCCAAATTTCAGGATTGCAGGTTCAGATCCAGCCTGGAATGTTTTTAATTTGCTCATGGAGTCAACCTGATTCCAAAATGGTAATATATGTTGGGTTCCGGCCTCTAGGATTAAAGTTGAAAAGGTGTGACACACTGACATTGGCATTTATTTATATAGAAGAAAGCTGATACAATACAAAAGAAATAAAACTGAAAGGCAGTGTATTAGCAACCTTATCTCACCTACTTAGTAATGAGACATTCCACTTGTTAATATAAGAAAGGAATATCTCATTAACTCAAATAGGGGAGATAATGATGTGTGACCAATAAATATATAAAGTCATATTGTCATTCATAGGCAGCATCTTTTTGATGATGATCGCTGCTGTTATTTTTATTTACACACCCCACCCCACCCCGGGCGACCAATTCTGCTGACTTTCTGCTTTGCTCCCTCTTATTCCTAGTTATTCTGCTCCGCACTATCTTTCCTTATTCTTACTAATTCTTTTACTTACTCTTTTTCCTTTTTTTTCTTTCCTTCCTTCTCTTTTTTCTCATGTGCGCTGAACACACCCACACCACGTGATCACCGGACGGAACGCAGGGAAATGAGTTACTCGTTATAAAAAAAGGCCAACCACTTGAGTTCCGTTCGCAAGACAAAACAAAATCATGAATTTTGGAGGGCCTTTGGCATATTTGATTCTACTTTCGGCGACAGGTTTACCTTTTTCATCAACCCTAAGTAAGTAATGAATCCCATTTTTCAACGGTTTTAGGATTTAAAAGCAAAAGTCAGCAATTATCCGAGGAATGAGCTTGATTGATTCTCAGCTGTCTGTGATAGTATAGTACGGGAAGTAATACTCCTGTTACAATGACACGGAATTTTCTTTTCTTTTTTTTTAAGAGACCTCATGTTTCGGGTTTGTTTGGGACTTTTGTTTAAAATGTGAAATTAACGCACCTCCTATGAAATATACATTTGATTCTGTGATTAGACCAAAACAGTTTTTAAAAAAAACTAAGAACTTTGACAAAATTAAAAAAAAAAAACTTCTTTAATAACAAAAATGAAACTAAAAAAAAGTACAACTAGAGTGCGAAACATCATTTTTTTTTATTTTATCATACGATGTAGTTTTTTTTTTTAAATATTTTTATAAAATTATAAAAAATAAATTGATCAATGAAGGTGATTCTTAATCTGGTAGAAAAAAAAAAACTTTTTTTTTCTTTTTTTTTTTTAACATTTACTTTAAAAATGTAAAAACTGTTAAAAAGCCCCCCTTTTTTTGTTTAATTCTGTTAATCAATTATTTCGATGCTTTTCATATCAACCCTTAATTTTTTTTTTGTTTAAAAAACTGACAAACACAAAGAAATTTTTTTTTTTTTTTTTTTTTTTACAAAACTTTTCATTTTGGGTGGGGAGGGCTTTAATTTTTTACGTTTTTATTAATTTATGTCCAGCTTTCTTTTTTGCTTTATAAAAAAAATTAACCTAAAAGTTACAGTACAAAACAAAATATTTTAAGATTATCAAATAAAAAAAATTATGGAGTAAATTAAATTTATTTATTTTTCTTTTTAAACTCGTGATGTAAAAACTTAAAGGACCTCCATCATTAGAAAATGAATCTAGCATAATAAAAACGGTCTTTTAAACTTGACAAAACCAAAATGTTATCGCTAAAATGTTTGTAACTATTTAAGAGGAAAGAACAAAGTATTTAATTATTTAAAAAAAAATTTTCCATCCTTTTTACTTTTTAGCATTCTAACTTTTGTTTAAAAAAAAAAAAAAATCGTTTCTCTTTGCCGCACTTTGCGTCAATGGAAGTATAGCAAATTTAGCGCATTTTTGTTTTATACATTAATTTGGAAAATCTTGCAAAAATAAAAATAATTGTCGGATTTTAATGAAACTTTCAGAAACTATTCACAAATGATGGAACTTATTATAAATGTCTTTTCTTTTTCTTAAGGTCATGGTAAAAATATTTCTTTATATATTTTATTACCCATAATTATGAAAACTCAAACCACTTAGAAGAGAAAAAACATAACAAAGTTTTAAATAGATTGGTCACTTTCATCTGTAGAGAAAACTTTTTAGTTTATTTATTCATTCATTTAATTTATCTTTTTTAAAATTACTGTCAAATGTTTGAAGTGCTTTTTTTAGTTAGTTTGAAAATTTACAGATGTAACTCCACGAGTTCACCCGTAAAAAAAAAAAAAAAAAAAAAAAACTTTGTTTTCAAGAAACTCTGACATCCTTAAGTTTTTTTAGGTGAAACTTTTCAATTAAATTAAATAAATTAACTGTTAATATTATTAAAAGTTCTGTTAATTTAATTTTTTTTTTTTTAAATTTTTTTACTACTCGAAAGTTGAAAGAATCCAATAGAATGTAAAAATATTGATATATAAATTAAATAAAATTTAAAATACGTCTAAATTTTAACTAAAATCGTAAATATTTGCGTTTTTTTTTTTTTTTTTTTTTTTTAAATGCTTGCTTTTTGTGTTTGTAACAAAACAACCAATACTGTAAAAAAAAAAAAAAAAGGTAAATTTTCATTTTAACACCCGAGCGTCATTTACTGCTGAACTATTTTCTTTCAGAAATTAGTACGCGCTTCCGTAAAGTGATTTTTTTTTTTTTTTGTACTTAATTTAAGAAGAAAGTTAACTTTCAAATATATGTAAACATCGACAAATAAAATAACAAAAGAAAAAAAAACACCTAGCCCTAATTTGAAAGTTAAATTTCTTCTTTAAAAAAAAAAAAAATAAAAGAATAACCAAAAAAAAACACCTAACTCTAATTTGAAAGTTAACTACAAGGAATTACTGTGAAGGGAGTAAATAGGCCCAAATTGTATACATCCACCAACAAAATTCATTACTTATCAATAAGCCGGTAATGGTTGACGAAAGACCAGGAAAAAGTCTGATTTTTTTTCGGGTCATTAACATCCAAAAAGGTAGGTTTCTTTAATATCTAATTGTTGATTTGAGTTCAGCATATACATTTGCACGGAAATAAGACTATTTGGGAAAAATTTGAAGGGATATTAGTGCTCGGGTGTTAAAATGAAAATTTACCAAAAAAAAAATAGTGTACTAAAACTAAAAAAGATTTTAATCACTTTTTCTTTTTTTTCCTCTTTTTTTTTCTTTTTTTTCCTCTTTTTTTTTCTTTTTTTTTTTAAACAACAAAAAGTCTAAAAAACTAAGTTAAAAATAATACTGTCACATTGCCTTCTTATTTGAAGGTCTACAGGTCTATTTAAAAAAAAAAATCTAAAATTAAAATTCATCTAATTATTCTATTTTTTTTTTCATTTGTATCCCCCCCTTTTATTTTTTTCTTTAGCTAAGCAAACTTTTGTAGGTAATTACAAAAGGGAAAGAGCTTAGAAAACATTGTGTTCCTCATCAATTAGGCCACAGGAAAGCATCTTTCTTGATCTTTCTGTTTGTTGATATTAATTTCACTGTTAAAAAAACAGGGACATATCAACAAAGATGTCTCCACTGACCCCACTAAGAAATAATTTTTATAATAAAAAGAAATAATGTCAGATTAAAAAAAAGAAATCTATTAATTGCTTAAAAAGTGTGTTTGTGTGTGTGATAATCTTTTGGCTTAAATCTCCTTATCACTTTTGATGGATTTGTAGAAAACCTGTAAATATTTGCTCTTCTATGTTCCACCATCATTGAACAAACTTTACAATTTCACCAATTATTATGGGTATTCTATCAAGGAGGCTCCTTACCTTGAACATCGACAGGGACTCTTCACCCCAGATCACAAGGCATAGAACCACCTTTGAATTGCTGTTGTTCCCAGGTTCACCCACACCCCGTATCAATATCCTCTCTACTATAATGTTTCACCATCACTGAACAAACCTTGAACCTTCACCAATTATAATGGCTGGGTGTTCTATCAAGGAGGCTCCTTACCTTGAACATCTACTGTGACTCAAGTTCACCCCAGATCACATGGCATAGAACCAATTGCTGTTGTTCCCAGGTTCACCCACACCCAGGATCAATATCCTCTCTACTATAATGTTTCACCATCACTGAACAAACCTTGAACCTTCACCAATTATAATGGCAGGGTGTTCTCTCTTACCTTGAACATCTACTGTGACTCAAGTTCAATCCAGATCACATGGTATAGAACCAATTGCTGTTGTTCCCAGGTTCACCCATACCCAGGGTGGTAGCATATGTTAGGGCAGCAGCTATGGGCAAATAGTGAACTCTCAAACAAAACATTATGAAAGTATAAAAATACATTTTTATAGTACAAATACCGACAATACATATTTATAGTGCAAATACCTACATTATTCAGACTATTGTCCTCATATTTGTCGCCATATTTATTACATTTCGGCTGTTGTACACTCTGGCCTTCTTGAGGACACATGGCACAGTGGACGTCTGTGTGTGATTTTCTGAGTATTATAAACTTAATGTTTTCAGTAACCATTTTTACCAGTGCTCATATTGCAATTTTTTGCTGTTATCATTGCATGTTTTTACTAGAATTCCTGTAGTTGTATGAATGATTAAAAATCACAGACCCTCTTCTACTAAAACACAAGGTCATTAGTTCAAATGTAACATGAATGGTCTTGATCACAATTTGAAATCTGATTCTATTTCTTGACCTGATAATTATTACACTCTCTTCCAGATGTTATTCAAAGCAGGAAAACTAAAACATCTAAATTCTGATTGATTATTTAGTAATTTGTGTTAGTCTAAGAAAGTAATTATAACTATTTTCTGCTACAGATTTCAGTTTTTAAATTGTTGTAGGCTGATGCTGTTTTCCTTATTTTTCATGATATTTTTGGTGTGATTTGGTTTTTGTTTATAATTTCCCATATATATTTAGAAAACTTTGTGCTGTTCATGTATTTACTATTAGTAAAGGATGTTTTGTGTGCATAGTTTCTGTTTCCACAGTCCATCATTTACTCCGGTGTATATTTTATTTTTTATCTGCTTATTTTGCAGTGGCTTGGTATATTATTGTTTTGCAAGCAATTGCAAATTAGTTTAAAAAAAAAAAAGAAAAATTATAATCATCACTTTATTATTTTATTTATTCATTACTGTCATTCAGACTATAGACCCAAATACGAAACATCTGGTGTGTTCATATAATTGTATGAATGATTAAAAATCATATGACTGCTTTTCAATAATCAAAATCGCAGACCCTCTTCCACTAAAACACAATAAGGTCATTAGTTCAAATGTAATATGAATGGTCTTGATCACAATTTGAAATCTGATTGCTGATTCTATTTCTTGACCCGATAATAATTAGGTTGGCAGCCATTTTTTTTTTTTTTTAAACAATATTTATCATGGAAAGAGCAACATGACAATTCAACAAAATCATTTTGAAATGATTATTCCAGTGCGTGTTATTATTGACACGCATTTTTATAACCTGCAAATAAAATATTTTTATTAAGAATAAGTAAACAAAACAGCAGTTTTTATTAACAAATAACTCTCCTACAAAAACACTTGATAACTATGCACCAACTTAATATTACACTCTTTTCCAGATGTAATTTCAGAAGTTATTTCCAGATGCAATTCCAGATGTAATTCAAAGAGGAAACTAAAACTTCTAAATTCTGATTGGTTATTTAGTAATTTGTGTTAGTCTAAGTTTTTTTTTTTTTTTTTCACCCA